CTACTACTACTACGCCTACTGCTACTGCTACTACTGCTACTACTACCACTACTACTACTACTACTACTACTACTACTACTACCACTACTACTACTACTACTACTACTACTACTACTACTACCATTACCATCACCTTTGCCATTCCCACTCCTAGTACCAGTACTAGTACTAGTGACTAGTACCGCTATAACTATTATTATGACAATGGCTATGACTATGAACATTACTATTGGTATTACTATTAGTAATACTGCTTCTGTGAATGTTACTAATTGCTATTACTATTACAATTATTTCTACTTTTGCTTTTACTATCACTATTACTACTATGACTTTGACTATGACTACTAGTACTAGTACTAAGAAGTACTAGTACTGTTACCACTACTCCTACTAATAATCATCACTTACTGCTATTGATATTACGATGTTTATTCTTGTTGCGAGGCTTTTATTGCTATGATTACTATTGTGATTGCTATCCTACCTTTCTGGGAATACTGGCTGTTGGCAGAATCCCACCTCACCGGAGTCGAAAATCTTTTGCTTCGCCGTGCCGACATTCTGGCCCTCGTAGGACAACCTTTCAGCTTTGAGAATGCGAGTCGAGGATTTCGCGGAGCCACTAATCGAGAAGTGGAGGCAATACGGTATGTCTACTGAGACTTCTATCATCAAGGCAGATGCAGCAGTTTTTATCCGAAACCACAGTCTTGAATGCGGTAGCTGCGCAAATGCACGAGTGGACTCTGTGGTCATGCCTTCCCGCCCCTAGCAGCTAGAAACTGCCTTGCTTTCAGAATTAGGCTCGAGCTTGATCTCGCAAAGAGCACCTGGACTGCTTTGCCTGAGGCAGTGCACGAGAGCAGCGTACTTCATGCGATAAATCATACTACAGCAGTGTACCTGGCTTCGACAAGGATATTGTCACTGGAGTCTTGGTGTTCCGGATTTGCAGTGGAAACTAGGCATCTCCCCAAGTCGCAAGACACCACTGCCAGATTGAAGTAGGCGTCAGGCATGGTCTTTTTGTTCCAGATCGACAGCGCAGGGTTGTCAGTGCTGATGGTCTGAACCCACCTGCGAAAGATGTGGTCCCGAGCGTTTGGCTGTCTGCACAAAGCCAGCATCGTTTGCCAATAGCTGCGTTTTATCCGCGACCTCTCGGTCCTGCTGTCCAGGTTGTCATTCTCAGCTTCACCCTCATCAAAGTCGATCTTAGCCTGCGGCACAGCGGCATAGTGGCGAGGTGAAACGGGCGAACGAGCGTACAGGAGCATGGGCAGTGCTACGCATGCTGCCTGGGTGGCAATCGCGACGTGCATCACGAAGGAATCGGAATCCTTGGAGCTGAAACTGCCGTATTAGTATATTACTATATTACTATACAATTATATTACTATACAACTATATTACTATATTATTAAACTGCTATATTATTATATTTTTCCATCACCACTCAGCCCTGGCTTGATCCAGACCCGGACAAAGGCCAGCCACTGTCACTGGCAAAAGCAGAGGGCTGTCTGAAGGAGCTCAGGGCTCCGCAGAGGGCAGCACCCGTCGTTTTCGCTTATCCCTGGCAGGGTTTAGGGTTTAGGGTTTAGGGTTTCTCCGCATGAATCGTGAGGACACACCGTCTAAGTCTAAACCGTCTAGGAGTCCAAACCACAAAATGAGAATGGACATAGACAGGGGGTCTGTAAAGGTAGCCCATGTCCTGCACAGCCCATTTCGGCTTGCCGCAATGACAGGTCAGAGATCTGCTTCGGGATGTCGTCTATTCGTACTAACTCGCTACCCGCTAGCCGCTAGCAACACGAGTTGACAGTCGAAGAAGCACCCGCAAAATTCCGAGATTCGGACGTCCACTGCAAGCCGTTGCATACCATCTTCCACAACTGGACGCTGAGAAACCTGCACATTCCAAACAAGCTTGCTTGCAGACAATGAGTTGTTCCATCAGCCCTTGGCACAGAGCATCCTGCTACCTTCGTGGATGCTGCCGACGTTGAGCATCAGCTACAACTGGATTGTAGGACCCGAGACTCAGGTTCGTACTCTCCGGACTTGGCGCGGACGACAGTATCAAGCTTTTCCATGCGACCTCGTGCGACAGGTTCTTCTTGTGAGTATCATGTTCGTTCTGCTGTTGGGATAGATGGAGGTTTGTCAAGGGTGTCATGCCTTCAGCCTTAAGCTGTTACTCTCAAGCCGGGAAGAGGTCGCCAGAGCACCCACCCGCACCGCAGTCGGAAATCCAGTAGCGCTCTGGCTGCAAAATCGTGCTCGCAGCTGCAATGCACTTGCAGACGTCCAACTCGGCACAAGGTCCACACCCACGACTGCTGGTCGTGGCATGGTCTTGTTCCTGATCTCCATAACAAAGCGTGGAACCTGCGGCAGAACCGATATCAACAGACAGTTTGTCACGCTGCTTGTTTTACAGACCTTGTCTAAATTGCCACGAACTGTTGCGCAACTGATTCGTGCGAGGTCGACGTTTCAGGCACCTTACTTTTTGTAAGTTTTTCACTAACACTGATTGGAACCGCCCTATTGGAGTCGATACTCGATAATGGGACTTTGATGTCAGGCTTTTAGATGGGGAAGCTATCCTTGCAATTACTTACAACCCCATTCAATGTACTTGCAACCTTAGTTACTAAGTCGCATGATCCAACAACTGCCAATAGAAGCTGTCGTAGCAGGAACAGCAGTGGTCGTGGTAACAGCAGTAGACGTCGTCGTAGTAGCCGTGGCAGAAAGGGCAGTAATTAGTAGCAGTAACAGTAGCATCACTGGGGATAGCAGTAGTGGTAGGGGTAGGAATAGTCGTCCTCGAAGTGTAGTCGTCGTAGTACTAGTAGTAGCAGTAGTACTAGCAGTAGCAGTAGTAGTAGTAGTCGTCGTCGTCGTAGTAGTAGGAGTAGTGTGGTGTAGTAGTAGTAGTAGTAGTAGTAGCAGCAGCAGTAGTAGTAGTAGTAGTAGTACTATAGTAGTAGTAATAGTAGTAGTAGTAGTAGTAGTAGTAGTAGTAGTGGTAGTGGTAGTCGTAGTCGTAGTAGTAGTAGTAGTAGTAGTAGTAGTAGTAGCAGCAGCAGCAGGAGTAGGAGGAG